GGCCCCGCGCCCCGCTCGGCTCCTCGTCCCGTTTGCCCCGTTTTCATCCGCCTTCAGATATGTAGCCTTGGACAAGGCCTCGAATGACGGCGGCCTCAGTCTTCCCACCTGTGAAGTGGGGTAACAGTCGTTCCTTCGTCTAGAACGTTCCTGGGCATCTGCTCTGGGTCAAGGGAAGGCTTAGGTCGGGGATCCAGGAGGGGTGCAGACGCTGCCCTCCCTGGGCTTCATGGAAAGGGAGGCGCGCAGTGCGTGGTAACTGAGATGCTAGGCGCGTGTTCGTTATTAGCAGGTGACTCCCATTGTTTCCTTTGCTCTCCCTTCCTAGTTAGTAAATGTTGAGATGTATCAGCAAATTTTACACTTTGCAATTCGTACGGGAACATATACAGAAGTCATGCAGTCGAGAGAGCGTGGCGAGGACACCCACGTGCAAATGACGGAAGCTGGGTCACAGAGGCCCTCTCCCGCCGTTAGTAATGCAACGGACAGAACAGTAAAACAGCAAAAAATAAAGGAGCGACCTAACGAAAAACTTAAGTACAACTTCATGCCATAGACTTCAGAAATGGTACTGCACTGCCGTCTCCCGAAGCTGAGCTCACCTAGCCGGTCAGGAGGCATAGCGAGGTCCTCCAGGAGCGTGAGTGCTGAACCTTGAGGAGGGACTGCCCTGGTCCCACTGCAAGGGGCCTGACGCCGACTTGGATCCAGCTCCTCCGCGACCCTCAGGTGGGATGGCGAAGGCAGGCTCATCAGGGAAAAGGTGCGCCGTTGAAACCGGATTCGAAGGCCCTCTCCTCTGAGCTCAGATGTGAGAAGCACTTCCTGGGCCTAAGTGTAAGAACGCCACTCTACGTAAGAGGTGCGTTTTAAATGCCAGATGTTGACTCTGCTGCAGCAGGCAGCCTTTAGGCCTGAGGTACGTCTGCACAGAAGCGAATGGACGAGATGCCGCTGCTGCGAACATTTCCACACGTAACTGGAAGTAGACGAAGCAGGCGTTGTGTTAACATCATGGTTAAAGTGACCGCTGGGCTGGTGGTGGGAGACGTGGCTTTCACAGTCATAGTCTCTCTAACCAACCCCGATGTCCAGGACACGTGATAGTTTGTAACAGGGACCGCTCCACTCACCTCAAAGGACCCTTATAAGGAGTAGATGAGCAATGTACGCGGAGCTCTTGGCACAAATTAGAGCCCACACGCGAGCGTGCGGCAGCTGCTCCCCTAAGCTGCCGGGGTTGCCTAGGGGTCTGCTCAGAATCCGCATCTCAATAAGCAGAATTCCTAGTTTGGGGGTTCAGAGAAGTCTCGAGAGGTGTCCCAGGTGTGCAGGATCTGCTGCTCGCAGGGGGTGCAGCTGGGCGCTCACAGCGCAGATCCGGGCTTAGCAACAACGACCCCGACAGCTGCCAGCTGCCCGGCCCACGGCGGAGCGTGGCCGTGCAGCTTGGCCTCTCTCCAGTCCGTTACAGTCACACAGCAAGAAGGACTTGGGCTGGGAAATGAGTCTTATTTGACGGATTTTGGGGAGCATGTGCTGGTAAAGTGAATTAAAACGGATGTGACCAATCCCCACATCCCATTCTGGATGGGATTCCAAAGAAAACAGATTATACAAACACCAAAGCTGTTTTACGTCAGATAAACTCACTTCCACCTGGAAATGAGCGCGTGTGTGTGTGTGTGTGTGTGTTTCTTAGAAGCGGCCTCTATCTATAAATAAAACTGCCCAGTGTGAGAAAAAATGAAAAGGAACCGGCCAGAGGCAGGATGTTTTTGGTTATTATTACCATTACCCTGTTTCCCTCCCAGGCGCAGAGGCAGCTTTTGTAAGCCAGGTGTTCTCATTGTTTTCACACCTGCCGCCCTTCAGCGCGCGCGTGGTTCCCACCGGCCGTCCAGCCGTTCAGCCGTCAACCCACCTCGAGAAGGACCTGTATTTTGGTGATACTTCTGAATAACAGACGTGTCCGTCCAATTTCTGGGTTGTTTGGTTTTGTCCTACCACTTCCCTCCCCTTCTGCTGTGTCCACAATGCTCATAATAAAACAATAGTCCTTGACACGCGGGGCGGAATGCTAGCAACAGCTGCATCTTTCATGGAACAAAAGCGGCACATGAGTGAGACTGACCGGGAGACCGGCATGGCCTGAGCGTATCAGTCCCAGGCAGTTCAGCAGCAGAGAACAGGTCGACTTCACCTATTAATTTACCGTAGGTCACTGCTAGACGTCACAGAAGTAGAATCTTGGTTTTAGAAAAACAGGCGGCGGGTCAGTGAGAGCTCTCACCTGCGCCCTGCTGCCTCGGTTTGTCTCCCAGTTTTCTCTCTACGTGCCCTTCTCTGGTATTTTCTCCCTAAAAGCGCAGTAGCTCTGAGAGGTGGCATTGCCCTGTGGCAGGGCGAGGATGCCAGAGGCCCGCAGAGCAGGCGACAGGGTGGCGTCCCCGCTCAGATGGCCGCGGCCTGCGGGTGCTGTGGAGAGCCCGGGTGCGCAGCCTCGTGCGGCCCCATGGGGTTGTTCACTTCGGCTAGTTACACTGAGAAAATGGTTTCAGGCTTCTTAGTTGTCGTCCTACGTTAAATGCCGAAAGCAATATTGATGGCTACAGCTTTTAAGACACTTTTTATTAAACTGTAAGTGCAGGAACGTAACACGTTTCACTCATCCTGCCGTGTCTCTCGTACTTTACGTCTCTTCCCCACCGATTCAGGGTGTGCCCCTTAATCACGTTTGTGTCCCCTTCAGTGTCGTAAAAAAATAAAGTGAAAGTAATTCCCCCATCGGCGCTACCGGTCACAGGGCCGAGTGCGGTCTCCACGCCGTAGAGGGGCCGCTACTGTCCTGGAGGGTCCCCGAGAGCAGGTTTCACCTGGTCCCTTTATCCCGTGTTGATTGAGTGCCTGCGGTCAGCCCGGAAAGTGGCATCAAGTGGGCTCCTCCCCGAGCTCTCTGCCTCTTAAGAGGTGCTTCTGTGTTAAAACGAAACAATATTCTCCAAGTAGTGAGGCCTTTAAATGGCACAAATACCATCTGAACAACTTCTGCCTCGCTGTAAGGAGAAACAATGGGACACAGACGTACTTTGACAGTTGGCAGCGGTAACCAGCGGCTCCGGGGTGGCCTCACGGGCCTGAGCTGCTGGGTTCGCAGGCGGNCGGGACACAGACGTACTTTGACAGTCGGCAGCGGTAACCAGCGGCTCTGGGGTGGCCTCACGGGCCTGAGCTGCTGGGTTCGCAGGCGGACGAGGCGGGTTTGCGGGCAGGGCTGGTGGTGCGGTGTCTTCTGAGGGCATCCCGGGTGCAGGGCCAGGATACCATCGGCAGAGCGAAGGCTGCCGGGGGGCTTATTGCCCCCGCATGAAGTAAATGGCAGTGCGAGGGGATTATTGCTGACACGGTGACCTGGCGTGACCTGTGGCCAGCTAAGGGGCATTACGGAGAGCTTTCCGGGCCCCAGGGGCCACCTCGCAAGGAAATGTAAACACACCAGCAACAGCCCTGGCCCGGCTCAGCCTAGAGGGGAGTCCC